TTTCTTCTTGAGGGGATAAAAATAAACGGTTGCTATGGCATCTTTGTCCCTTTAAGATCTGACCAAAGGATTCCCTCCAGCAGGAGTAGGAGCATCACCTGTCATAAGTTATGCAATGCATTCACAGATGCCTCAGGGATTTTGTTACCCCGAATTTACAGCTATCCTTCCTTCCGTTTGCTGTGTCGCCTTCAATTCTGCCTGAGCATACCCCTTCTCTATTGCAAGGGGATCCATGCAAGAAGTTTCGTATCTCTGTTCTGATATAGCTTTGTGAGACTTCTCTTTACAAAGCCTGTAACAGTGGGGTGCTGATCCTGTTTAAGGTCCCATAATTTCTGCTTAGGTGACCCACTGAACAAAAAAGACATATGATAGTGACGAGCACCCTCTCTTAGTATTGAAAGCCTGGATTTATTTACCTTATGTTTTCCTTTGTTCTTCTAACTAATGTTTAATTCACTAATGTTAAATGGGAAAAACAGATTCCTAACTGTCTCATACATAGGAAATCCCTAGTGTTTTGTAAGACCGTTTCAAACAGCTCTGGAAGCAAAGAATGTAGCTTGAAAGCTCCACTCTGAAAACAGCTGTGCTGACAAACGGGTTATAAGCATTATTCAGAAAGGATGTTAAGAGATATGTGTGCCAAGACTGAAAAACAGGATTCACACAATTTTTTTTGCATTCTTATCTCAGGCTTTTCTATCACTTTCTTCTACAGGCAAAGTAATGACTTGAATCCATTTATGGGTTCAAGGTTGGTGTACGTAGTCAGAGCCTCCTTAAATTAAAGGAGCTTATATGAATGCAGCATACCAATTAAGCAAACCTTTTGCAGAATTGGCATTTTAGATGGTCACAAATAGAAGAATTGTGAATATATATGGTTATCTCTTATGTATTACGTAGTTATGGTTATAACAATTGCTAAATTGGCAATCTGGGGCCAAATTAAAATTTTCACTTTCTTTAATGTTCCATAACAGCTCTTGAAGTGTTCTTGCAAGAATTGCGTTCTTTTTACAAAATTGACAGAATTTACTAGCATCTATAAATAATTATGAAAAAGTAGAACTACAGTTGATAAAAAAAGCACATTTCATGAGGCAATATGTGCTAGTATCTTCATTGAGATGGTATATTTAATTGCCAGTTTAATAATTTGCTGTGTCTTGCTCTGTAACTAGCATGCTGGTGTCCTGGTTTCGGCACTGGTTATCCTTTCGAAGTTGGGTTTCTAATGAAACTATGTTTTTTCAGTCTGATGTGTGGCTAACAAGAAGTGCCACAGTCGGGTCCTAAAATAATTTTGGAGCATGAGAGTCAATGGTAGAATTTTTGAATAGAAAAATTAGGAGATTCAATCAAATATTTAAAAAATAAATAATAAGTACTGACATTTTGGAGACAAAGGTGAATTTTCTGGGTAACCTTAATGTTTCTCGCAGTACACCCAAGGTCAACATGTTGCAATTGTGCCTGATCCTCCAAATTCCTAAGACTTGGTGTTTACGTGTGGGAGTTTGCTGATATGAAAGTAAATATATAAGCCAGTTGGTTTGTAGGATTTAGTCATTTTAAATTCTTCTAATTAAACCTTTTGAATGGCAAGTTGAAAATGTCTGATTTATCTTCCTGCCTTTTACTGTATTGATGCATATGTTTTACTGTTTGGAATATATGACGTAGCTGTATATGGTTTGGGAACTAAACTTCCAGTGATACTTTCTGAGTATTCCATATTGAGCTATAAAAGAAAGATTATAGATTGTGAAAGGGAAATTGATCAAGCTTCTATGACTTTGTATAGGTTAAAACTAGTCTTGATTCCATTAAATCAAAAGAAGCCTCCATTTGAAAGGTTTAATGTAACTCCCTTCAAATGCTTATGTTACAGCAATAGTATTTTTAATATAATTGTGAAGGAAGAGAGACTTCCACACTGTACTATTCGTTTGCCAGTTATGAACCAATAAGTTTTGAGCCGTTTCATCAGTTTTTGCTTATTTTGAAGGCAGGTAGACCTCAAAGATACTACATTCTGTTCTATGTGAAAATGAGCATCCTGGTAGATGAGACCAATTTAGTTCCCTAGTTGGGGAAGACAGGGGAATTCAGCTTTTGTCTGTTCTGTCTCTCAAAAGCAGCTGTCTAATCAGGACACTTGTATTGGTTGGTAGTCAACACCTATGTTTCTTGAGTAGCCTGAAAAAATACCTCCAGAGGTGGACATGTGATGATGGGAGAGGAGGCGGAGGAGATATAGGATGTTGGATGCGAGAGAACTCTGGAAGTATCGTGGTCAGTATTGTGTAGGATTTGGGAAAGCTAAGGCCAGAACTCAGAGTTGCTTATTTCTAAAGTACTAATTCCAGTCCTATCCAGATGAGTGTCCAAAGTCATTGCAGTAGTTTCTTTAAAGAAATAGGTTTTCTCAGACCAAATGGCCATGCAATATTAAGTAAATCTAGAGTATTAAGGAAAACTTAATCAGTTGCTTGTAATTTTGGACTCGATGATCCTTATTGGGTCCCTTCCAACTTGAGATATTCTATGATTCTATGAAGTTTTAATGCCAATTTCTGAGCTAATTTTAGATTTCAGTGTGTGACGTTTTCTTATTTAATGCTTAGTGAATACGATGATTCTTTACTTACTGAGCTAATAAGATATCTTCATGGCCAGTTTGCCCATAAAGAGTATTGCCATACCTCTCATTAATATGTAGATGTGAGGATCTTGTATTTAGAATGAAAGGTACTATTAATTGTTTTTAGCTCTACTATTTTTCTGTCGTTGCTTACTGTAGGACACAGACAGACATTTTGGTTTTCTTACTATTTCTAACCGGTGAGGCATTAGAAATACATAAAGGTACAGTTTACACTTTCTAAAACGTTATGCTTTTTCATATATAATTCTTCTCTAGCGTTAATGCATTCCTTGTTACCTTTGTTATATTCCATCCCTGAATTACATATTTTCAGCATAAGGCATTACCTCAGCATATTGACAACTAAGGACATCAATATTTGGTCAATCATGTTTCCATGAAATGCACAGATGTTTGTAGAACAAACTTAACTAAAATCATACGTGTTAAGCAACATAATGTCTTTGAAATGCTGTGGATTTCTAGTTAGACTAAAAAGTGTTCGAAAAACTAGCTGTTCTGTTTGCGTGTTATCAATGCAGTTCAGTTCACACTGTTTTTATTAAGTTCCTGTCTTTGATGTTAAGCAGTATTGTTTACCTCTTACTGATTTTTCCAGGATATAATGCCTTGAAGTAGGTTGCTTGCTTGTATGAAGCAATTGAGCAGTAGCTATCACTTGGCTGTTGCATGGTCTGCTTAGTATGAAAAGAATGTTCCCCAGGCTGTACGGATAGGAGAGAGGCAGCTAATGCTGATTTGCAACCAGTGAGTTTAAGCATCAATTGAAGTAATACGTTGCACTTGAGATTTTTTTTTTTTTCTTCCCTCTTTCTCTTTATGAAGCAGAAGAGAGCTTTCTTTGGTTTGTTAGACAGTATTTATATTAGGGTACAGTGTGAAATTGCAAGTCACGATGAAGAGGGTTCTGTTCACAAAAGTTAATAGTGTATAATTAATAACGTCAGATAAAATGTGAGAAGTATAAATCTATTGGAATAATTCACAGTCAATTCAACAAGAGCTCCATGGGTTTGTTGTAATTTAAGATACTTCATACTCTACAATATTTCAACTGGGACACTCACTAATATGATAGATGTAAGATGTAGAAAACATAGTAGTATTACTTGTCATTTGTGGTAAAAAGTGATTTAGCTGGCCATGCAAAATGGCAAAACATGATTATTGACTGGTTTTGATACCCTGGTTTCCAGTATATCAGCTGGATCAGTTGCTCAGGCTTCCACCAGCTTCCAAAAGTTAAAACTCCTATCTGTGATTTTCCACTGGGCCTGGAACTCTGACTGCTTGAAAACAAGCTTAAAGTGGAGTTCTTCTTGCACCTTTTTCGGAACTGCCATGGGTAGTGATTTAAACAAATAATAACATTTAATCTGTCATCAGCTCCTGTATCACTCAAACCTGTGATAAAAGCCATCTAATAACTGGAGGATAGTAGGGATTTGCCTTAACCAGAAAACTATAGATACTGTTGAACATGCTACTGGTATAGCAAATGAGAAAAGGTTCTCAATGACTACAACAGCATTATTTGAGTTTAAAAAAAAAAAAAATCCCCTGTTTTATTGACTATCCCTGGTGAGGAAGGTAAATATGGGTTTCCGGTTCATGTAGCAGGAAATATTGTATGTAAATGTATTAATGGTTACATTTTAATTGCAGAATAAAATTCTGGGCTGCTTTAGCTGTTTTGTTGATGAGCACGACTTGCTTTTAATGATTGCTTACCCATGTGGCTAGCGATTGATTGGGACATAAATATTGCTTACTTTTTTATTCTCTGCTGGAATTAACGTTAACAAATGAGTCTGGTTATGTTGATTTGACGTAACCTAAGAGGCTGCCTTTACAAGAGGCAACTTTAGAGGAGCTTATAAAAGGGAAAAAGGAGTTGTATTCTGGGAAAGCGTCTTGGCTTGAATGGAAAGCTTCTGGAGTATGTTCTCAGTTTATAAACTGTTGAGCCAGATGTATATAGCAACAATGTTTTTTCTTAATATATAGGCAAGAGACTTGGGAAACAGCTTTTTCCATGGTCTTAAAATTTTATTAATTCCTGATAATTTTTGAAGTTTTTCCTATTTAAAATACAGCAATAGGATAAACAGGATGAGCGTGTATCATTTAGTGTCAGAATCTACTAGTCTAAAACTTAACGTCAGATTGTATTAAACATATTTATATCTTCCACCAATATTAAACTCAACTATAGTGACTTTTCTGTGCATGTACTCTAGAGCCAATGTATGTTGATGTTCTTAGGGGATTTTGTAAATATTCAATATTTTAATTTTTCCCCTCCCCCATTTTTTTTTCTTAGCTGGAAAAGAAGCAAGCAACCCCTCCATTTCAGCCTCAGATCACAGACGATTATGGTTTGGATAACTTTGATACACAGTTCACCAGCGAACCTGTGCAGCTAACCCCAGATGATGAGTATGTTTTTCCCCAAATACAATTGCGTATTAAGAAATTAATTTAGAAATGGCTTGAAAATTACTAAGAAGAGACTATGTACTTAGCATTAGAACCTAGTCAAGTTAAAGTAAATTTGAAATTCTTTGTATCCTACATATCTTGCATAAGTTATCATACTACTTATATATTAGAAGACTGCCTAGTATTCTGATAAAAGTTCAGAATACAGTATTGATTTGCTGTTGAGCGTGTGCTTGGCACTGAAAGAAGAGATGGAAATTTGATTCCTGACTTGGGCAGTTTGCATTTCTGTACTCAGGAGAAACAATTGATGCACAGCTCCTTGGGTCTCAGAATAAGCTTGAGATAGCAGGGAAATCTTACAGAAAGCTATTCTTTAAATGTGCTATGGAAAAATTTTGCAGGAAGAAAAATTATGCTTTAATAAAGGAATTTGAAGGCTGAGGAGTGATTGCTGTACACGAAGGAAGGAAGTTCCTTCGGATACAAGGTGGCATATAAGAAGACAAGCTATAGTTTTGGTAGTTAGATGGGAGACTTATCTTGCCCAAACTCTTTAAGAGAATAATTGTACACAGTTTTGAGGATTTACTGCAGTGTAAAAATCTAAAATTGGAACTTGAACTTCCTTTGGAAAAACAAGAGGAAGCTCTATGCAATGGGAGAAAATGCCGGAGAAAAAACGGTCTTGTTGACTTCATTTGTCTGTGAAGCACTGAGCATATGTCTGATGAGAAATGTATTATCAGAGCTAAGGGGGGAGGGTGGGCCAAATGGCATCAGTGTGAGAATCGTAGCATCTAATTGCTGAGGAATGCAACAAATTGGGGGGGGGTCCATTCTTCTTTTTCCAAGGTGCGTTTTTCTTTCAAGGCTTGAGTGTGTGACACTAATGCCAGATGGTATTTAGAATACACCTTTTTAAGAACTTTAAAATATTGTTTCTCATTAGAGAGCATAGTAGCGTGTGTTTTGTTTTGAAATTTTTGTGCTATTCTATCAAAAATACAATGAAACTTTCTGCTGCTTATTTAGCACTTTGATACAGAAGTGAAACAAATCAAAGGAGATTTGGGGTTTATTAAAAATCTAAGACTCAGAATCCGGAAATCTGTGCAGCTAGTGGTTTTAGGTGAGCTTTACTGTGAGAATGCAGCAAAGATTTGCTTGCACGTTATACACTTATATTTTCCCAGTATATTTCATTTATTTATGTTCGCTTTTCCTTATCTGACTAGATGCCCTCTGCTGAAAACTATGCGTTTTTTTCCAGATGTTTTCAGCCTATTGTCCTGTTCACTGGTTTCACATTTGAAAAAAATGTATTTCATGAATTTCCAGCGCTTTGCATTCTTTACAATTTCTAACTGAAGTCTGTAGAGCTACTGATTGATGGTGTTCTAGAATGAATATTTGGGTCTAATCAGATGTTTAATAAAACTGATTCTAAAGTATTGCTTTTGGAACCGGATTTTAATAATGGATTTATGATTTCTACTTTCTTAGATACCGCCTGAAGTACTGCGTATAGTTGGATGCCATGTTGGCAAGCAGAGGCTGTTGCATACTATCCAAAGGCTTTCATAATTAAAGGCACAAGACTGTCACATTCTAGCCTATGTGCTTCCCGGTTTTCCCTCCTCTTTGTTGCTACACAACAAAGCTAAACTGCTCTGAAAAAAGACAATACCGTTTCAAAGCCTCTTTCATAAAGTGCCTGCTAATCCTAGGTCAACCCCCTGGATTAGCTAAGTTGGTTAGGGAATTTTTATTTTACAAACAAGTGTTATGTTGATTAAATTTGTGATTATAAAAATGAGCACTGTAACTAGCAATCTGTTGAGTCCACTCTAGTGGCAATAAATTTACTGTTGCAGGGTCTTTCTTTTGCTGCATTCTTGGGTAGCAGGTGTTCATCCTCAAGTAATTACATATTTGGAGATTTTGCTGTGGATATTTGTGTGCCTAGGTGCTCAAGCTTGAATTTTGTGGAAGTGTTGCCTATATATCATAGATCCATAGTTCACAACCTGTTCTCTCTTTCTCAAGAGTCCAGCACATATGAAGTGAATAGCTGAATGGAAACCAAAGTGTGAAGTGCTTCAGTTACTGTTTCTGTGTGATGCCAAAGAACTGCAAGGCACATTTGTGCTTTACAGGTTCTGCTTGACAACAAGATTACAAATACCAAGTGTATGCGCACCTATAGCGGGAAGTTTTATGAACAAAACATCTTAAAAGAAGTTCTCTCTCTTTTATGTATATCAATTTATAAGTCTGTCCTTGGATTTCCTGTGCATACAATATGTGTTTTTTAAAAAGTATTAGCTTTGTGCTTGACTCTTTTGTAGTATTTATCTTACATATAACACTAGTAGCCCTTGCTGACAGCAAAATATCTTTCTTATTTCTAAATTGGTATTCTAAAACAACAGTCATTTATTATATGCTTCTTTTGGTGCCCTATAAGTATGCACGTCACCTAACTGGAAGAGTAGATGAAACTTTTTATCAGATGTTTCAAAATTTCCAGTCATATTGCTTTAGATATTGGGATAAAACATTAGTGTTAAGCATTTGTATGTTCAGAGACTTTTTTCCCCCGTTTATTGTTGCTTCTGTACAACCTCATATATGTACGTTTCTGTAAGGTATTTTGTTATTATTTGAAGAAAAAGCACAGCAGCAAAACTAGTATTTGCAATTGATAAAACTAAAAATGCTGTTATTTGTTTTTCAGAGATATAATAAAGCGAATAGATCAGTCAGAATTTGAAGGATTCGAATATATTAATCCATTGTTGCTGTCAACAGAAGAAACGGTATGAAGGAATGACATCTTCGTTGTGGACAATGTGAATGACCTTTAAATTTATCCTTAACTACAGTATATGCATGCGAGGCTGGGGAACTGTTAAGATTTCGGACGGAGACCAATGATTAAAAAAAAAATTGCTGCTGAAAATCAAAGAAGAGAATAATGATTTTGGTGGGTGTCTTCTGCCACTTAGTGATTCTTAAGTTCTGGGCACTGACACAACTGGCTTCATTAATGAAGGAATTTGCATTTTGTGCCTGTTTCATGAAGGATTGAAACGTTCATTGCATCCCTGGAAAAGGAGATTCTGAACAACTTTGAGATCTACATACTTTCTACAAACATTTGATGCAATGAGCTACCAATTGAAGAATATTACAGTGTAACATCCTGAAGAATAAAATATATTACGGTGGTGTTGAAGCTTATTTTTGATGCCTTTTTTCACAAGTGGTACCTGTCTAAACGTCTCAGATATATTTAAAAGGAGTTGTGTTTTATTAGCAATCAAAACATAAATTTGGGTACAGGATTTAAGTGCCTAAATGGATAAACTGCATTGAAGAATTATTACATATTTGGAACGTTCTTAAACCTGGTAAGTTCTGCTTGTTAATATTAAGTAACCATTTACATATGAAACATACAGTTCACAGCTGCAGCCTAATGTTCATTTGCATCTTTATAGAATTTGAAATGCAGAGTGACTCAGCAATATTAATTCTAAATTAGAATTTACAGTATCAATTTCAAAAGCTGTTGTTTTAAACTCCAAATTTACCAAAATGTATAGATTGAAGAAAACTAAATTTGCACACAAAGGATTTCTGAAAATACTTAAGCAGTGCCTACACCTACAATGATGTTGTGTTGTATATTAGATTTTTGAAAAGTATTTTTATCAACAATACAAATATTCAGAAATAGAGCAAAAGCGTAATAAAGCATAGCCTTAAAGTTTAAATAGTAAATCTAGAATAACCATAATATAAAATACACTTTCCTGATAAAGCACACCTCCTACTTACGATAAACTGTCTGCTTACAATTACTCAGTGTGTATTAATAACTAATCATTCTTCATAAGAGAATGGGATGTTTTGGTAAAACGATTTGCATCAAAGTAGTAAATTTTTTTAATGGAAGAAAAATGAATACCTAAGAAATTGGATAAAGCAAAAGATAACTATCAAATCCCTTCTCGTGGAAACTGGGGGGGGGCAGGGAAAGGATATATTACATCAAAAAGGTTAACAATTTATCAGCTTGGAAAGGCTCGTGTCGCTACGTTTGTGGATTAGTAAGTGTGCATTGCTATCTGAAACTTCAGATGCTTGTGAAGATTCACCTGCCTCTATAAGTAACAACAGCAGAGGCAGTGTTTCTTTTTGCTAGATTTTGGTTTAACTATATCGTGTGGGTTGTAGAGGTAGGAAAAAAATTGTGTGGGAAGGAAAATATGAGAAACCCTGTGCCATGACATCTCACCTAATCTGGTGTAAAATGCAGGATAAATTGCAACGCTTTCACTTTCTTTACATTAACATATGGTTTTCTCAGGGTACAGCATTGCATTAGGTGCTGAACATGACATCTTTCGGATTCACATCCAAGTCATGAGGTGCTAGGACGAGACTGCCAAAACATTGTTTAAAATTTTCAATTAATCATTGGTTAACAATCTATATTTTGTATCCCCTCATTAGCCACAATTATGCAGATCTGTGGTTATTTAGTTATATTAATCCCATTCAGATTTAAGTTGTGGGTTTCTCTCCGTTGGCCTGTAGCTTTTCATATTAAGCAAGATGTGTTTTAATCAGCACTAAATAATTTAACAAGTAAGAAGTACTTGCCTGAAATGCCTCCTGGACTTTATATACTTTATTATCCACTAAAGGAAACATTTACCTTTTAAACGTAATCTGACATTTTTTAATTATTCGTTTTTTCCCTTCTCCCTGGCAATTACTTGATTTACCCTGAATAATTTTTTTCAGTGTGTTCAACTCCCCCAGTAATAAAGCTAATCAATAGTTATCAGAGTGACTGCAGGCAGCTCATGAATGGAAGTATGACAGATTAAGCTGTCCTTTGACATGCCAGGGCATAGGACTTTAAAATGGAAATATTAGAAATGTGGGTTGGGGGTTTTTTTTAACCTTTTTTCTAGGTTTCAGAACATTTTGGGAGGGAGGGAAGGAAGAACAGAAGGACACATTTGCTAAACAAACATTGTAAAGACTACTTGATTTTATTTAAAAATTTACAGGCATTTACAATGTTGCTGTGTTGCCAAATAGTTTGCTGGATACAAGTTTGGTTGCTCATGTGCAAGTGTTTGAATAATGTTCTGTTCATGATGAAGGGGAAATTTTTTATATAAAGTACTTGTTTTATAAATAAAAGAAAATGAAGGATGTAATTAAATGTGTGGTTTGGAAAAAAAATCCTAATATATTACAAATGGATCTGGTAATGATATATAGTTGTCTTATTTGAAATAGTAAACAAAAATTCTAGCTAATTTAATGATTGTAAAACAGTAAATATGTTCTTGTAGTTTTGTATAATTAATTAGTTGGGATCTTTGCTGACCAGTTTTAATTGTGCAGAAGATGGTATACTAATCCATAACAGCTAAGATCATTTATATTCTTGCACATCTATTAAAGACTTTAATGAAAAAGTTAATAGACTGTTATTATTTATCAGTAAACTGAGCTATGTCCAACCTGCACTTTTTAAAGAGACCCCATTGTAAATTAAACCTATAGGATTCTTCCTGTGTTTTGATACTGCGTTCTATGTTTATTCTGTATCTTTGGGTCGCACCTGAACTGTACACTTTTGAGGTCCAGGGCAGAGGTTTGCTGATAGAAAACCATTCAGATACTGAAGTTTGTTAATCTAGTTGCACTCCTCTTCTCTGTATGTGAAGGCAGTTGTGATCAAAATAGCTGAAAGGGGCACAATTGTATTACTCTTGCATATAGCCCTTTGACAAGAAACTAATTTGACCTGTAAGGCTGTGGCTGGAGACACGGTGTACTGCGGGAACAGGGTACCCTGTTCAGGAAACAATTAACTGTACCTGGGGGAAATGAATGACCTACTCTAGTTTATTTCATCCCTTCCATTTGTTGTTACTAAACTATCATGAAAGTCATTTATTGTCATTCATGGAAAAGGTTGCTTTTCTCAAGCTTACAAAATGTTTACCTGCTACTACTAAGAAGTTACCAAAATAGTAGATGAGTCTTCTGAATACCTTCTAGCCAAAACAAACTCTCAGGTGTTTTTTATTCTCAAACATTGATGGTTTCTAAGGGAGAGGGTTGGAACTGATGCAAAAAGCAGCTGTTTTGGCTGACTGACTATATTGAACCTTGTGAAACTGGCAGGAGAAATGTTCTTTCTGGAGCCTAGTTAGTTGAGACTAGTCACGTTAATCAAGTGGATACTGACTTAGAAACCTACAAAGTGAGGTTATGAATTCAGCTGTGTTCCTTCAGAAAGAGAAAAAAAACGAACACCCTTTATTTGGTCTGGGTTGTGTTTTCTTTTAACATAGATATACTCACAGAATCAACTGTACAGTCATGTAAGTTCTTACTTAGATATTAAAATAATGAAAAATGCTAAGCTTGAATAACTTTTTAATTCAGCTTATTTTCACAGATTACCTGTTTACAAGAAAAAGTAAAAGGTCAGTAAACTTCTGGATTAGATTAAATAATAGTTATCTTTTGTTCAGCTGCTTTCTTCTACACTTAGAGATTCGGAACTATGGTGCATCAGACAAAAACTGATTCTTCAGGGATTTACAATGGTACATTTTTTTCAGAAGTACCCAGATTCCAGGAGTGCCAAGACTGATTTCCCTGGGGGTCATTGGGACATCCTATAGCACCATTTTCAGAACTAGAACTACTTTACATGCATTTGAGAGGATTTAAAATAAAAAGACCCCAAACAGGCAGGTGGCACTTGACCTTCTGTTGAGTTATTGGTTTGTGATCTTTAAGCAAGTTCGAGACAAGGACGTGCTTCCTTGACACATTTTTTCTTTTTGTTTGAGAAAGGTTCATCCTTGGCCTTGTTCCTTCGCTCTTCATTCTTCTGGATTTACCACATTACATCATCTACACTTTCAGACAAGCACCTGGCAAGATGGCCATCAATATCCAGTTGTGACAGTCTGCAAATACAGAGAATTTGTTCAGTGAGAAACAAAGTCAAATCCTTTTATTTAGCCTATTCTTCACACTCTCATTTCCTAAGCAATCGCGGAATTGTTCTAGTAGTTTAATGGGTAAGTCATTCCTGTGCTCAGAAGCACTGCAGTCTGCCACAAACTCTTGTAGTTGCTATGACCTGCTGCTAGATAGTTTGATAATGTCACTTAGTAGAAGACAATGCTCACACTCCATATGCTCAGGACAAGTAATGAGGCTATTAATGAGGCATCACATTAGGCTATTGATACAGGATAGAAAACCATTACCTCATTCCACATCCAACTCCAACTTCAGGATACAGGAAACGAGATTTCTGATAGAGGAAGGATGCCTTCTCATGTCTGCTTTCAATTCCTTCTTTGGAGGGCTATTTTTGTGATTGTGACATGACCCTCCCCGCTGCCCACGTTACAATATTTTTTTGAAAAGTGGCTTTGATAAAAATTGAAACTAATCCTAATCAGCACAGTTACCAGTAGCACAGAACTGAATATGGAGACCTGAAGTATCTTTAGCCTTTCTGTCTAAATCTCTTGATAATATTTACAGAATTGTGGTCATTGTAAGTCATCCTTTTGTCTCCTTGTTCAGCCTCCAAACAAAAGAGAACAAAGTCGCAGCCAATAAATCTTGCAGTTAGAGGACCTGTTCAAAACCACGTTTTCAGCAACGATGACAGCCTAAATACTATTAAGTGGTGTAATTTCAAGAAACAACATCATTCTTACTGTAGAGTAGATAATTCAATTGCTGGGAGGGAGGATTTTTTTTTTTAAATAAAGGTAGCCTGACAGCAATGGAGGACTGAAGTCTCATTTAGTTGTACTAATCGGGGCTTGCATAAGAAAAATCAGCTTCCTTCCATCTTGCCCAGACCTTGAAAGCTAAATCTAAACTTAAGAGCACAATTGCTCAGCTAAAGGCATCCAGGTATATACTGAACAGGTACCACTATAGCTGTTAACAGTAAAGTCTAGATCTTGAAGAGAAAGTGACAGGTATGAGATTAATCCATCTAGCTCTAAAGTTAGCTTTTAATTATCAAGAATGCTGCACTGGAATGGTTTTTGGATTATTATACAAATTTCACAAGTCTTTTCATGCTCAAGAATTTAAAAAAGTTAATTCTGCCTATACTATAGCAAGGTTTACCAGAGAGCTCAAACTTAGCTTTCTTTTTGAAGCAGTATAATCTAGTAATCATGAACTTCTAAACTGAATTAGAAGTAGGAAATTCTGACATTTAAGAAGTACTTTACAGTAGCAGTTTTGTTTATTTTCATCATTTTGTATATAGAGAACACATCCAGAACCATTCTGAGTTTTGTATACTGTGAAGTTACAAAAAAGAAATACTTACGTTCCACTAAAATGAATCAGACACATTGGGCAACTGTCAAGACTTGACAATTCTTCACTCTGATTTTCAGTCTTCTCCTTGCAGCTCTCAGTTCCAGGTACACTCACAAGAGGCGGCTTCTTTTCTGCAGGCGCATATCTGGCCTCACCAAATGAAATATTCCCTTGATGTGTTTGTATTTGAAGCTCTTTCCTATCATTTTCTTTGCTGTTTTCCCTGCTGTTCTGTACAGTCCCTCTGTAGTGCTGTTGAAAGCTAAAAGCTTTTCCAGAGCTTTGCGACAATGTTAAGTGGTGTGTAGAACTTCTGTGCTGAGTGAGTTTATGTGATTTAGGACTTGCATCCAGTAACTTAATACCTTTTGTGTCACTGCCAACCATATTTTTGGCTTGATCTGTAATAGTTACACAGCATGTTTTCTCAGCTGTAGAAGGTAAACTTTTCAGTTTATCAGCTTGGCCCTGTCCTTTATGCAAATGGTCGATCTGGCTCTGTGTTAGCTGATGGGAGCTAAGATCCTTTGGGTTTAGACATTTTTCTTTGCAAAAAGATGGGAATGATACCCACTGAAAGTCTTTCATTCCAGTTGTGAAGACTTGTTTTCGTAGACTATCTTCCTCAGAACTCTATGACACACACATACACAATGTCTTCAAACAAATGCAGTTCAATCAATACATAAAACCAAGGCTGAACATATTACAAATACCGAGAAGGCTAAACTACATTGAAGAAAAGAACATTTTATTTACATCCATCTCCAGCACTTGTAAAGCAATCAAGAACTTCCTGGAGTTTATGCAGTATGTGTCTTCCCTTAATGTGTCTAAACTGATACAATAGGGTACTCTTTTAATATGTCCCATAGAGACTAAAGATGAAAACAACCTACTGCTGTTCAGGGGGAAAAAAATCTACTTTAGAAGGACTGTGGTTTTTGTGTCATGATATTGCTTAACACTTATAGGAGCAATGTAATGGTTGTTACTGTGTAATTAACCTCTTGTTACAGTTTGCCTTTTCCGGTTTCATTCGGTTAGGGAGATGCTGGTGCTGACGAGCAGTCAGTACACTTACACAGGTTACCTCTTTTCAGCAAAATGTTCTGAAGAATTTGCCATACTGCAAAAAAAGCCCCTAGTAGTTATCCTTATACTACCTGCAACACAATGCTAAGTCACACCACTATATGTAGAGACTAAAGAGCTGAAAACCAACATCTATTTAAAAGCTATTTCAGATTGTTTCCCCTGTTAACATCATCGTTCAGACTGTCACTATTGTAAGCAGTACACAAAGTGCAGACAACAAGGATACAGCACACTACCTTTCCAAAGAACTCTGGAAAACTGGGCACTGTTTGCCAGTTTGTGCATTGTAAATCTTGACTGATGTCTTTCAGTAACAAAATCCATGGTTTTTCACACTCACTTAAGTCTTCTTTTTCAAACCAGGAACATCTGTCGGGCAACGTCCTGTAAAGAGAGAGACAGCCCAATAGTTTGAGGGTGGGAGAGAGGGAAGAAAATACTCTGCATTGCTATTAGTTTGCCTCTTAATTAACTTGATTTACTCCTCCTGTAATGCTAATGTTTCAAAAAATGTAGCTATCCTTAACTGTGATTTATCAAAGCAGAAATTTTAAAATTGAAACCTTCCAGAAGCTGACAGTGCATCGACCTCTTTCAGCCCAATTCAATGGCTAAGCGTGGTGACCCCTTTCCTTTTGTTAATGGCTAAGCACAAGGTAGGGATTTTATGATTGAAAATGCATATAACTTTTCCATTTGTACAACATAAAACTCCATTCTTACCTATTTTCTCTTGATTGAGTAGCACTATATGTGCTAAACCAAGAATAATATTTGACAATTTTGCCATGTCAAACTACAAAGAGGCACGTAAAAAGCATTTGTTGGTAGGTACAAGCATGCAAATGCAGATTTTTGAGTTTAAAAGAGCGGCAAGATGGCCTGTGGAGGAAAAAAAGATTTAGCTGTTTATAATACTGTTTGTTTACCAAGGGAACCTCCATCTAGCCTACAGCAAGGTTTTTCTAGATCACAGAGACACTATTTACCCTATAAACTAATTTTCAGTCTACTGTGACTTACATAACTAATACAGCTATCAAAAAAATTATCCAATTTTTTAAAAGAATGTTTAAAAGCCTTGCTTTCTACTTGTAACAAATGAGATATAGGTATTTATTACTGTCTTCACTTCTAAGTGAACAGTTAAGTGTAGCCACTGTTTTTTCTTCTCAAATACCGAACTCGACACCTACTGAACACAGAAATCACTCAAGTGCTTGCACTGAGGATGCCAGTTGCATTGGTTCCGATGTACGCTTGGCCACTCCCATATTGCCATTTGAAATTACCAATTATCCTTCTGAACAACTTGATCTAATCCATCCTAGGAAGGCGTTAGGAAGGTTTAACTATAAAGTAAGCATTAAAAGGTTCTTATACTAGTAATGCTGTATAAAGACAATTTCAAGAGAAGGACAGATTGTTAATGTCAGAATACTATTTCCAGCGTTCCCACTCCTTACTGATGCATTTTCTTGGGTCACTGTCCAGGAATGATGCTGCACTGAGAAGAAACTAGAGACAAGTCTTACAAGCCCTCAAAAAGCGGAGTGATCGGCCTTTCGAAGCCTGTTTTTGGAAGGGGCACAGCTGACGGCGTGCTTGCTCATCCTAACAGGCTGAAACAAGAACTGAACTGCTCACTGCCTCTTCACCCCGCCTTTCTTCGATCCTCCCTTACTCGAGGGCTGGAAAAAACAGGAATTGTTTCTGGTCTCCTGTGAGCCTTATCCTGAAGAAAGAAAACTCGATTTTCATACGTTAACATTGCTCATGGGCCCCGTCCTTCCCGGTGCTATTCTGTGCCAAAGAACATGCAGCCTGGTGCACTTCATTTTGCAGTTGGCTTCTCAATTTTTCAAAGGTACTACAGGTGGTGTTTTATGAAGTAGCCTTTAACACAACCAGCAACGTGCTAGAGGCACGACTACAAACACCTCAGGTCGCAGGTGTGTTTGAAGACCCAGCTGCATCTTTACGGCACGGGGGCCTACGGAGGGCAGGGCGGTCCCTTTTCTGAGGCGCCTGATCCAGGCGGGAGCGTCTGCGGCCCGGCCCGGCTTGGGCAAGGCCCTCCGGCCTCCAGCGGCCGCCCGGGCCCCGGCGGGAAAGCGGAGGGCGGGAGGTCGGGGCG